GTTGAATTCTGCTATCAAGATGAGATTCCAGCAGGACCAACAGTTCAAACTATTGGCACTGATATTCCTGAAAACGATCTCGCAGAGAGACAGCGCTGTTCTCCAGATCTTAAGCCAATCATTGACTATCTAGAGAATGGTGAGATTCCTCTCATTACACTGATTCTCAAATTAAAGGCCTCCAGGGTCGCTCACAGGAGTATGATCTTTGCAACGGTATATTATATCATTTCTACATGCCAAAGCACAGAGGACACAAGAATGGTCGCCACCCAATGGTCACACAACTGGCAGTTCCTATTGCAGACAGGAAATCCCTGCTTTATGCTTATCATGATTCAAAAGCAGGTGGATGCCACTTTGGTCGTGATGCTACCCGTCAGTCCATATTGACCAAGTACCATTGGCCAGGTTTGTACCAGGATGTTGAAACATACATCAAATCATGTGAAGAATGTCAAAAAACCAAACGTCGGGTCCATTCTAAGCCAGCTCCAATGGTACCTATGCCTATTGAAGACAACTTTTCCAGGCTACATGTTGATATTCTTGGGCCTCTTCCTCAAACAAAGGATGGGCATAAGTATGTTCTTGTAGCTGTGGACTCATTCTCTAGGTGGATTGAAGCATTTCCATTGCACACCCAAGATGCCGTGGAAGTAGCAACGAAACTCTTTAATGAGGTCTTTACAAGGTATGGTGCTCCTCGAACTCTTATCACTGATAGAGGACGCCAGTTCACATCAAAGCTAGTCAATGCAATCTGTGAAATCTTTGAGGTGAAACACCACTTCACATCATCATACCACCCCCAGACAAATGGAATGGTTGAACGGCGTAACAGTACAATTGCACAAGCCTTAAAATCGTACTGTAAGCCTGACCAATCTAACTGGGCTGACATTCTTCCATGTGTTCTCATGGCAATGCGAAACACACCATGCCAATCAACTGGTTTCTCACCACATCAAATGCTCTTTGGCAGAGAAATGTGTCTTCCATTTGACACTAAACTCACGCCAAAGCCAACACTTGGTAAAAGCGCAGAGACGCATCTTAAACAGCTCATTGATAATCTGAAGGTTGTCAAAGCTATTGCTCGAGACAACATGTTTGTAAGTCAACAGATAGATAAGGAGCATCAAGAACTGAAATCATCAGAACCTTCATTCAGATTAAGCCAGCAGGTGCTTCTCCACAGCCCTGTAGTCAAACAAGGACTTTCCCCCAAGCTGTCCCAGTCATGGACAGGTCCTTATTATATCACGAACATTGGTCCAAACCACACGTTCAAAATCCATAGATGTTCAGACGACAAAGAACACAAATCTTTGGTCCATGCCAATCGCCTGAAACCCTATATCCTCAGAGGTAATGTTGCACGGCATGATGACTCATCAGGTTCTTCCACACCTACAATTACAGAATCATTACCAGATCCTCCTGCGCAAACTTTGCAAGGCAACTCTCCACTCGACTCAACAGTCTCCAGTGAAAAGCCTACTGCAGAAGCGGATGAAACTGTGCCATCAGAGCACTCTCACAAGCAAACAAATGGTCACCAACAAGATCAATTCTATGATGTTGAAAAACTCTTGAAGTACAAAGACATCAACGGCATACGCCATTTTCTTGTCAAATGGGATGGATATCCTACACCAACATGGGAACCACACCATAACATAGGACAAGGACTTATCAGAGACTTCCACGTGCACAAAACACAGACTGGACGCAGTCGTAAGCACAAAAGATCTCACAAATATTTTGTCTAATCTCTAATAATATAGGGACCCTCGACTTTGATAGTCCATGGCAGTTAGGTTCAGGGAAAATTGTTAGGCGTTGATAACAAACCTACAGGTCCTCCTGTGTTCATAAGTGCTAGAAGGATGATAGTTGCAAATGTCATCTCTTCAAACTCGTTGTCAACACTATCAACCCACTGAATCCTGGCTCCATGTTATCAGAATCAGTTATTTATTATCATTGATTACACTCATGAAATGTCATACATTCAATCAAAACGACATTGATACAATAATATTGCCCAAATATGACACTATTTGGCCCCCTGTACACCTATTTGAACTTTTCAAAACCTTGATCTGATATTCTTCATCCCAGTGTTCCAAATGAATTTGCCCATCACAGGTTAATAACCTTTTCTACTTAGGGACTTTATACAATGGCCGAGTTCCTGCTGAGAACAATACTCTACCATACATGGTTTATTGTGACAGTTGTATTTTGTTCACCATATTATATACCTGTTTGCTTCTCAAAGCAGAACAATTTTTATCATGTCATATGTTGTTTTCTGTTTTACGATGTTTCATACTTGCTTATAATTAATACTGCCACATTTTCTATTTTGTCAATCATTGATTGATCAAATGTGCATTCTCAATGTATGTATAATGTTTGGTCCAACACGGACAAGCCTTTAGTAGCACTATTTCCATGTAACATCCATGTTTTGCTTTTGCGGTCAAAAGCTTCCCACAGCGGAGGGATATTGTCATAGTCTTAAAATCACTACAATGAATCTAAAATTATGATGATTATGGTTCAATAATAAGCTGCATATTTACATGAATATTTTATTTAACAATCAGTATAACATTTATATATTTCTTAAGATGAAGTATCCACGTAGCTGACCGTCACAAATCAGTTAACTCTGAATTATGCAAGATAGTCAAGCCGTCTCTGTTAGGGTTATGCCCCAGGCCGTAACATGCTGTGCATGGCCGGGCGCAACGTCATTGTAAGTAGCTTATGTCCGTTGCGTAGTGATATAAATGATTTTAAGTGGTCAGTGCACTCCATGACACAGAGCTAATTGCAATTGATACACCAGATTTTAGATTACAGCTACAATATTAGGTAACTCAGAAATTCCACAGAAGGCCTGAGTCCCTATATATACTGAGTCTAGTAGCAGACACTTCACTCTGCTACGAATAAAGACTTCAAGGGACTCAGCAGCCTTCTCTCTGTTTTTAAGGTAAGATTGTATTATTGTACTAGTTTAAGTTGGGAAGTTATACCGTGTGATATGCGCTCTACTTATGTGTGCTACCTTTTTCATAGCCTTAACCTCACGTTTATACAGTTCAGTATACCACAAGGCAACATGGATGCAAATAGTACGTTTATATATGTAGATATTAGCACAGTAGTCTAGTTGTACATTAACTGTTGATATGCCAAGTGATAGATAGTCATTAAAGCACTTAGTATGAGTACGTGTACATTGTGGTAAATACCCGCGGGTAACCTCATGTAAATACCGGCTCATGCGAATATTGGCTATGCTACGTCTTTCAGTCGGTTAAGCATTTACGGCATTGAAATAATACAGTATGTAAATTACAGGTATATGTAAATACATCAGTAACGCTAGAGTGCCGTAAATGTAAGTATTAACAGTTCATGTATGATATACGTTAGCTAGAATAAGATATAATAAATCCCTGTCTAGTATTGTACACAACTTACTTTGTAAATGTATTACCGTATTGGTTCTAATTATCAGTGACTCGCAAACCAATCATTTAAGTCGGCCAACTTTGCCTGGATAACAATACCACTGTTACGCTGCTAAGGTTTATTTAACTGTTAGTCATTTACCGTATCTACCATGTATATTTATTATTGTTTGCAATCTCTCTATAAGTATATAATTACCGACTCTGCTACGAATAAAGACTTCAAGGGACTCAGCAGCCTTCTCTCTGTTTTTAAGGTGATGGCCGAGTAGTCAGCTCTGCCAAGTTAATTCCCCCAAATATCTTGTCGTCAATGTGATGTAGCACCAGACAAACAAGCACCCTAGAAACACAAGCTACGTCAGTCAGTAACAAGCTACGTCATATGTACTATAGATAGTTATGCATGGCTACACTGAGCTTACCAGCCCCAAACGGTTCTTATCAAACCTTGTCATTTATCGAGTCAGTATGCTTACGTGTACTAGTACGTACGCTGGACTGTAATGGCCTCGTTGGTAACACGGAAGTTCAGATATGGTGAAGTCATTAAAACTTGTTGTTTCTTTCGATCTGACGTTTTGTATGTATTACAACTGTTGTAATCTCAGATGAATACAATATAATTAATTGAAATGTGGTTCACATTTGCTATAACGGGTTAATCCTTTTCATAATTCACATGCTGGAGAATTTCAGGACTAGCGTGCTCCAGTCTTGTCTATTTCAAGGTTATGTTGTAGTGAGACATACCTAATGCAATCTCTGTCCCATTAATATATAACATGATATAACATACACGGACGCCACTCACGTTACACCTATTCCACTAGAACATCGAGAAAGCTTCCTGTGTGTTTATGTTATAAGTATGTGGTTGTGTACAACACAAAAATTAACAACTGCTAAGCAACAACCAGAATTAAGTGCCTGAATCTAAGAGTGACGGTTCGAATCACAGAAGGGAAAAACACCTTAAAGTACTCGACAGAGAAAGTGTAATCCCTAATAAAACATATGTTACATTTGACCATTTTCTAAAGTGTATTGTGTGTATTGATAACATTACCAGAAGCCGACACAATAGGCATCCTATTTCCACAGCTGGTTTGGGAATAACACTGGTACCGTGAAATGGGAATTAAGTATACATGAGTTAGAAAATGTCGAAGATACCAACACCAAACATGACAGTTTTAACTTACACAGGCATGTCATCCTCTGTCATAAAGGCCATCATTCAGAGGGGTTCATCAAAGTAAACAAACATTTGACGGTATATTTTACAATAAAAACACACATCAAAAGTGCTTCCACAAAATAGAAAACGAGTTTAGTTAGTTCAGCATTATAAAGTCTCTTTGTGCAAACAGGTTCAGATTCGTAGCATCCAGTAAAACATGTATGTCGGTGTACATCAAAGCAAGGACGTCACGCAATGGCAGCGTCATGCGCAGTTAGGCTAAGATGACACACAGCTCCAAACAGCGTCGGAAAGGCATTCACTATGATAGGAGCCCGAACATGTTCAGGAGGAAATGCGGTAATTTCCGAAAGAATAAGTAATCTCTGGGGCGGGCGCTGTGGGATTGTGGCATCGACTCGTGGTGGTATTATAAAAGAAACTATTCTCCAGGTAATAAGACAATTGACTTTACACATATAAATACATAATCAATGTTGGTTAAGGGAATTTGTTTGGTTTTGTACTCCAAGGTGGATGACCTTCTGAGGATATATTGTACTTCTATGAAGATGTGTTGAGGAGGTTTACTTGTATTATATATTGTACTTCTATGAAGATGTGTTGAGGTTTACTTGTATTATATATTGTACTTCTATGAAGATGTGTTGAGGAGGTTTACTGGTATTATATATTGTACTTCCATGAAGATGTATTGAGGAGGTTTACTGGTATTATATATTGTACTTTTATGAAGATGTATTGGGGAGGTTTACTGGTATTATATATTGTACTTCTATGAAGATGTATTGAGGTGGTTTACTGATATTATATATTGTACTTCTATGAAGATGTGTTGAGGTTTACTGATATTATATATTGTACTTCTATGAATATGTATTGAGGAGATTTACTGGTATTATATATTGTACTTCTATGAAGATGCATTGGGGAGGTTTACTGGTATTATATATTGTACTTCTATGAAGATGTATTGAGAAGGTTTACTGGTGTTTGATTTTGTACTCCAAGGTGGATGTATTGAGGAGGTGAGGTGAGGTGAAATTGGGTTTAACGTCGTGGTTGAGAATATTTCGCTGATATGACGACGTGCATGCGGGTGTATGTGTATGTGCAGCTGCTTGTACTAGCCCAGACTGAAGCTGGTTTTATAGTGCTAGCCCACTGAGATACCATGCCGCAGTGAAGCATGAATACCCCACTCAGACACATTATTCTGACTCCGAGCCGACCAGTCCTTGTTGTACCGATTAATGCCGAGCGCCAGGCAGGGACCAATAAGTACCATATTTTAACGTCTTTTGGTATGACGCGGTCGGGGATCGAACCTGCGACCTTCCGCTCTCCGGAGATGTATTGAGGAGGTGTACTGCTATTTGATAATGAAGCGTCTAACCAACTCTGTGACCGTTATGTAAATTAACGCCTTGTCTCTGAATACATATAATTTCATAGTAACAAATAAACCCATTTAAATTGTAAAGGAGCCCCAGTCAGATAGAAAATTCAGAACCTGGTGGGGGGAGGGGGGGGGATCTAGAGCTTGCTTCATTTAGGGCTTTAGCATTGCAGGGAGGGCTATGCAGAAGGGAAAGTAATGTGGTTCAGGGGCTGTGGGACAGACTAACCATTATGGTACACACGCACATACACACACACACACACTTAAATACATACACACATATAAATCCTTGGAACATTCCCTTACGTCTACTCTACTGACGTGCACCAGACGGCCGCTAACGGACTGATGTCTCAATTACAGATCAGGGCCAGATAATCAATGCCACAAGCCGCTGTGTGGAAATGTATGAAGCACAACTAGACGATTACAGTGGAAGCGCTGTCCTCTTGTGGCCAGAAAGAATGTGACACGGCACTCGTCAGCTACCGGCATCATCGGCGCGCTGCAGTCAGAGGAGGCTGGAGGACTGCAATATGCCAGCTGTTTGGAGAAACACGTTCAGAGGGTGATTATCAGAACACGACATGATCATTTGGCAGGGTTCACCAAAGGCCTGTTTACATCCCATTAGATATATGCCGTGCTTTCCGTGTTGTTTAACGCGGCATTGGGCAATATTCCTGTTATACGACGGCGCTGGTCGAGTCAAGAGAAAATAAATCCGGTGATTGACGTCATGAGCACCTATATACGCAATGAGGATCCGATGGCGGGTTGATGACCCCAAAGAGTACGTGCATCTGCGTCTTATCGGTATCTCTGTTACGTATAAAGTGCCATCTTGATCTGTTCACCAGATTCAGAAAATACTTGCTGAAGTAAGGATAAAGATATAAGGTTGATTGTTTTCCCCCGGGGAGAAATGATTGTAATGAATGAATATCATCTTGTGTAATTGCAGGTTAAATAGAGAAAATTCCACATGGCTCCATGTCATGAACCCGTGAAGATCTGGGTTAAAATTGATTTAAGTAACCCATGCATGTCGTAAGAGGCGACTAACGGGATCGGGTGGACAGGCCCGCTGACTTAGTTGACACATGTCATCGTATCCCAATTGCGTATATCGTTGCTCATGATTTTGATCACTGGATTGTCTGGTCCAGTCTCGATTATTTACACATCGCCGCCATATAGCTGGAATAGTGCTGAGTGTGATGTTAAACAACAAACCAACCAACCTTGATATGTGATAGTGTTTCGGTCCCTGCTTTAAGCTATACTTCTTTTCACATCCATTAACATAAGTACCAATCTATGTAACAATATATTTCGCTCAATGCATCCATGAATATGATCATTATTTCGGACAATGTTCTTTGGATTACTTATTATTTTTTGTACAGGTACAATTGTAATCAGATCTTAGAAAGTACGATGTTAGTCTCCATTTAATTAATATTGCACCTTGAGAAGACAACGTGTCAATACTTCAATGTAAAAAGAAATCAATTAAATTCCCAGTTTCACAAGTCACACCCTTCTTTTGATCTCGGTTGCTGAAATGTCAAGTACGAACCATTAATTCATATCTAACATGATCCTTTCGCCCACTTGAAGGTACAGTCACGGCGGTGTGGGTAGCGGACGCCCACTAACCCTATCGGAATCCCCAATACGTGGGGCCCTCCAGCGGAAATCGATCGTTTCTTCACGTCACTGAACGTAATGAAGAGTAAACACATTCACAGCCCTGTGGACGATGTCGTACACATAGACGTCGGGGTCGATGTCCCTGGATTACGGCATAACTCTCTTCAGAACCATCGATCCTGGCTTTAGAACCGGAAGTCCTGCTAATGAAACAAAGATGGCGGTCAATTACCGGTAATCTGACAATTGGAGAAGACTGTGAAGATTTCGGTGTCAATGGAGGCGCGACAAGTATTGGACACGCCCGTTAAAATGATTCTCTGTTGCACTGAAACATAAAAAGTTAATTGACATCAAACATCCTTATAAAAAAAATTTCAAGGACGTTCTTTCATGTGCTGAGGGTGTTATTTACAAGGGAATATTGCTATTCTTGAACACAAATGTCATATTTCTTGTCGTGAAAGGGTATCCCACGACTTCACGCCATCAGTGGGATATGAAATATTATATCAGATTCGTACACACAAGGTCATTAAGACAATTGGTCTCCTTCAACAAGTCAACAAGCAGGTAGAAGTTAACGACACGGTTTATGATTTCGCCCGCCCTCCAATCAGGTGTTCGATCCTTCGACATTGTCTCTGTGTTATGCTAGCTAAGATTTCGATTACACAAATACATTACAGGTATCAAATATTCATAACACGTTTGAATGGCGATTCCACAGCTCAGACACATTGATCTAATATTGGCTTTCTCGGTAATTATCCTTTGTGGACAAATAATCTGCTGTGAGCCGACACGGTTGAATTGTGATCGCTGTGGAGGTGGCAATGACAGGAGCAGCCATGCATGGAAAGAACAAGTCAAGCTATTAGCAGCTCCTTTAGGGAGATTCCAACAAAGACCAAATGCTCTTTGTGAAAACAGCCGAAGCATATACAGCTCGATCTTTGCTAAGAATAACCTTGGCTTTTTTACGCTTATCTGCCCTGAAGGGCTCGGAAGAGGGTGAGATTAAGTTATGTTCATAACCACGCCCAGCTATTAATGCGTGAGTGCTTGAGTTGGTTTAACGCAGCTTTTTAAAGGGGCAGCTTAATCTGGGAAGAAATCCCGAAGTGGTGCGGGTCTTAGTTGTTATCACATTGGTCAAACTAACGAGTATTGTGCTGACAAACCTGGACATGTAATCTATGTTGTGAACCTGTAGTCATGCGTTTCTGGCACTTCTGAGGGACGCAGCTCTCCACGGCAACTTCCGGTCGCGCAGGAGACTGCCCCAGTCGTGTGTAAATAATGTTTAACGATACAGTCAGGGATATCCCATCGGATGTTGACAGATAATCCACTGAATGACATCATGAGCATCGATCTTCGAAACTAGGATACGATGACATGCGTCAACCAATCAGCAAGCCTGACCACTCGGTCGCGTCAGTCGCCTTGCCGAACTGGTATCTTCACGGGTTCTTGCGGAAGGGAATGGTTTATCGGATTGGTTCAATACTACTTTTGGTGTGAGTTTTTCGGACTGCAGTGGTAATTGCGTTCCTTTGTGTGTGTTATCGGTGTGTTTGGATTAACACTGTTGTCTTCCTGGGCTCACAATCGGTAAACTTTTTTACGAAATATCTGCGTTATTTGTCTTAATTTATCAGTTTTTAAGGTATGGTTTTAATTGTATGTTTTGAAGACGCGGGGAAAGTGCATAATCACAGTGCGCTCAACTAAGTGCCATGTCTTCCAACTTCTGCATAGGCCTATCAAAGACTTGCAGGAACTAAGTCGCCTGCTGCTGCTACTGCTACTGCTACTGCTACTACCACTGCGGCTGCTGGTACTACTACTGCTGCTGCTGTCACTAGTAACAGTGCTGAATTGTGTGATGAAATATATCATTTATCTAAACATTTTAGTGACTACGTCTAGTTAAGCTAATGAATATACTGATTTAGTTTGAGAGAATAACCGAAGGAGTCATTTAGGACGAGAGAGTGTGTCAAAAAAGTATATTTTTTTATCAAAATACTCTAATCATATCTCACGGCTGGTAAATAACCACGTCTGGATTGAAAACACCAGGGACCTTCACGTTAGTTTGGGCGTCAAATGATCTCGAGGTCACGGTGAACTCTCGCTGACTGCAACAGTTATCTTTCCTGCCCTACTTGAAAGATCGAAAAGTTTGAATTCGTCTAAACCGAACCGAAACAGTTTACTATCTGTGAAGAATGCAAATGACATAGATCCGCTCTGTATCTACGTATAATTTTTTCAGTTTCAGGGAGCAGTGGGATGTTTTGTCAAAAATAAACAAGCGCCTGTTTAATTGATTTTTAAAAAATAAGTCTAATATAGCAAGGGAAAATGTCCTCTACTTGCGTCCAAAGAATACTAGTATTTACTATGTTTATTCTTTTTAATTAACTTTTTAAAGTATATGTTAGAACAAATAATTCAGCTTAAAAAAAATAATTCGCAAAAACACCCCCTTCCCTCGAAAATGCTATGGTTGTCTCCCAAAGAGGATATAAATAACGAGTGGTATGATAGCTACTCCAGTCAGAAAGGTCGCAGTTGGTTAAATATCCGTGACTACAACCAAGTGTGTATGTGTTGATTGATCTACGGTATTAACATAGACAGCAGTAGATCCATCTACACTATCAGATACTTGGCGATATCAGTTCAGATCAGCCAGGTCGTGTTGTTAATCGCCCTCCTATGGAAGGTGTTATAAATACCCTGGCCCTCCACCGACACAATGGCATATTGAATGTAAACATTCCCAATGCCCTGGTAGGCCGAGACACAGGACAGGTTTCAACACGCCACTTATCAGGCTGAACATGTTCACAAGCCGCTCTAGTATGACACTAATATCATACCACTGTCTGTGTGTGTAGATCGACATGCGAGGATATATGTCGGGAGATACAGGCACCATTAGCACGGGGTCGTGACCTTTAGCCAGTTAATGTTCATGAACTTGAAAACAGGTGAGGGCACGGACGTCGGACCGAGTTCAATGAGCCAACTCGGATGAAGGTCTTACTAATGCGGCTCTTATACATCACCAAATGGTCTTGACCCAACGGTGCACCAAGTGATTAAATAACAAATCTCGTTTTTCTTAAGAGTGACGTTTTCATTGTTGAATTCGGGTTTATTTGAACGATTTTTCTTAGTTGCGACGGCTAGGACTTACCAGCTTGTTGCGTTGGAATGTAAGACTATTGAGAAAAGGAGGGGTGCACACTTCATTTACATCCGAGTTTCAATGGTCATTTAACAAATTTACAGCACAAAGAGGGGGGTGCGCACTCCCGCACCCCCCTCTGGATCCGCCTATGGACGTATCTGTGGGTCAGTCATTCAAAATAGTGAACTCTCATTAAACAGCAAAATCTGCCCCAGAATTGTCTGCGCCTGAATTGAGCGGTCAGGTAACCATGCCCTCCTGTCCGAGTAGGACAATACACAAGAAGTCCCACAGACTCTGCATTCTCCCTGGGTGGCGAGACTCCCAAGGGGAGCTGGGCGTGAAGCGTTCAGGGGGGTCACAAGGTTAATAGAGTTGAAGCTGACATAATGACGACCCGGATCCACCTGTAGTGAGTGAGTTACTGCAGTTTTACGGCGCTTTGAACAATACCTCGGCTATATAACAACAAGGGGAGCATCTGAAAATAGCATCACACGGAGTACCCATGTCTGCAGTCAAACCCGGGTCTTAGTCGGGACGAGCCAACGCTCTAACAACTTGCCTTCCCGACCGAATCCCGGTCCATGGTGAACATATATCAGATTTATCTTGGACAGATCTACACACGTGCTTACCACGAACAGCTGAGTTAAATCTTTTAACAATCTAACCTTAACACGTGCGACATTCCCAACGCTCAAATATAGATATAAAATATGTCTATAATAATTAATTACTACATCAATTATTCACATTGATATTGATTAGCATGAAATGATAACGCGACACAAAGGTACTACAGAATGAAAGGCATCACATACCACAAGTAATTACATCGTTAACATGTACGTGGGTTCTTACAGTCCTTGAACCATATTATTTTCCCCTCTGCTCAGCCCTGACTGTGATGCTAAAGTCCTAGTCTGTCTCGCAGTCCTTGAACCATATTATGTTCCCCTCTGCTAAGCCCTGACAGTGATGCTAAAGTCGTAAAAGAGGCAAGTCTAGACTTCCTATTGGTTCTGAATCTGCTCCACGGAGAGTCGCCTTTTTTAAAGATGTAATTTCAAAGACTTTGCCTCAGTCTACACGGTGCAGTGTAAGATAAGATAGATAAGATAAGATATTTATTGCATAGCATTCCATGAAAGAACATGGCAATATTCCATAACTACAAATATAAACACAGTAGGTACAGATACATTTCACATACTAATGATGAGCATTATAACTATTGCACAAATCATATGTAAATATGGTAATACACAGAATTCGTTTGTTTGTGAAAATTGTTAAGAATTGTTCATGTTTACAGAGTGTAGCAAATTCTTGATCGTGATTAAGGATTGTTTGTAGAAGTGATTCTCTTTCTTTGCTATACTTTGTACAGGATATTACATGGTGTTGCACATCTGAGACATACAGTACAACCAGAAATTATGGAGAATTTAAAGATTGTACAATGTTTTATATTTTTACTCATTACTCGCGTATTAAATGTGAATATTAGCAGAACATAACTCCAGATTCAAAGACAGGTGAACAGTTAGTATTTTGTCAAGTCACCATGGGCAGCAATGCAGGCTTCAATGCGGCGGGGCATACTACTGATCAAAGAAGTTAGAAAGTCGTGGTCCATGCTGTCCCAATATCGGACCACCTCTTCTTTCATTTTCAGCAATATTTGTCAGAATTTTCTTATTGACACTTTCCTGCATAAGTCCCCCAAAAATTTCTATTGGATTTAGGTCAGGGCTATAGCTTGGCCAATCTAATAATGTCATATTTTAGGTCCGCAACCAGGCCTGTGAATGCTTTGAACGATGTTTTGGGTCGTTGTCCTGCTGGAAAATCCAAACATTTCCATAGATCATGTGAGCAGATGGAAGTAAATATCCCTCGAGAATAGCTGTGTACCGCTCACTGTTCATATTCCCTTCAAATACACAGAGGGGCGTTGCCCCTAACACAGGTATGCCACCCCACACGTTAAATTTCGGACTGTACTTGGGCGCTGATACAAAGGTTTTTCAGTTTGTTTGGTCCAGAATTTCAGTGTATTAGGAAACAGCCACACAGAACTTTCATCTGAGAAAATCACATTGTCCAAGTTACAATTTCTGTGCTGTAAGCACCAGTTCAACCTTCGCTCCTTTTGTTCAGGTTTCATGATCGATGATATGGAATTCCTCGACTTTTCTGCCAACCCATCGCATACAGCTCAGTTCTAATTGTCTCCTTACAGACAGACACAGTTCAATCACATCCAGCCTTAAGTTTTCTAAACTCCTTCGTTCGTTTTTAGAAACAAGAATACCAAGCCGCCTCCTGTCACCGACACTCAATTTTCTGGGCCTACCTGCGCCTCCCTGTTGCTCAATGCCATATCCATTTGCAATATTTTTCAAAACACGATAAACAGTGGACAAAGGGATGCCTGTTCTACTTGAAATCACTTTAGCTGATCTGATGTTCTTGTTATAATACTCTAATATCAACTTCCTCTTCTCTAAATCATCCATACTGAGGATCACTGAAAATGTCGTCTGCTAGCAAGTAAACAAAGGAGGATAACTCTTCACAAAAAAATGAAAAAGGACTAACGGAGTTGTCTCTCTTGAATGAAACCAAGCACTTGATAGCTGGTCAAGGTTGTTTATACTAGAAATCCAATTAAACATATTCCTAAAATTCTCAATAATTTCTGGTCATACTATAACACATTTCACAGAGACGTTGTTCTAGTGCAGGTTTTGCATATCTACCAGCTTCAATTTTGAGTTTAGTTTTGAGAAATGTGATGTATGTGCTTTGTTTTTACAATGGAACAGATCATTCTAGATAATAGATAAGTGTAAACAACAGAAGTGATTGATAGATTGTTGTTTAACGCCGCACTCAGCAATATTCCAGCTATATGGCGGTGGTCTGTATATATTCGAGTCTGGACCAGACAATCCAGTGATCAACCTCATGAGCATCGATCAACGCTCTTGGGATACGATAACATACTAGTATGTCAACCAAGTCAGCGAGCATCACCACCCGTCCTGTTAGTCGCCTCTTACGACAAGCATGGGTTACTGAAGATCAGTTCTAACCAGGTTCTTCACGGGTACAACGGAAGTGGCCACGTGCAGTACCAAGTACAACTTGTTTTAAACGAGCGTATATTCCACACACATGCAGATCACGACTTCTCCCATTTACAAGTGTTACCTGTATTAACATGGAGAACATGGACAAAGTTTTGCACGTGTTTTATGACATTGTTGTTGTTGGAAATCGGAAATATTAGAGACTAACTGATCATGTTTCACAATCATAAACCTGCCAAGGGTCACATTGATAACGAGCATCGGACATAATCCAAGACACAACCAAGGCACAATACAATTATGTGTCTTTACGGCTGTTTGTATTC